ATTTTCAAGGGGATGAAACCCTTGAGCTACCCGACACTACCCCCCCTTTTTTTTTACTCTGAATAAGGGTTGTCTACACTATATACTATACTTCTCTGCAGTCTTGAAATTATGCAAAAGAAGAACTTTTTCTAGTTTTTTTCACAAAAAAAAAAAAAAAAAAAAAAAATTTCTTACAAAAATGTTGCCATTGTACTCTAAAATCTCTTTAGTTGAAAAATTCAATTTTCATTTTAAATACAACTTTTCTTTAATTTTCAAATTTAATTAAATAAATAATAAATAATATTCTTTAAAAAAAAATTTTTTATTTTTATTAATTTTTAATATTAGAAAATAAAAATTTGTTTTATGTTTTTCTAATATTTTTTTCCTTATAACAATAAATTTGTAATAAAAAACCATTTTCCAAATTTAAATGCCTCGGTTATCAAATAAATTTTTAATAATTTTTTTTAAATTAAATTGAAAATTTACAAATAAAAATTATATAATAATAAAATGCTTGGTCTGTCCTTCTGTTCTAACTTGAAATTGGCCTTTTCTGATTTCACGTGTTTTTTTGAATAGTAATCTTATGACGTGTCAAATTTTGACAATTCTTTTTCTCATTTTTGCCAAAGTTGTATAATTCTGTTTCCAAATTTCGGAATAAGTTTCTTTAAAATTCCAAATTCGAAAATTCAATTCACGAAGCTGAAGTACACAACGTTTACCAACGAATTTTTTTTTAAAGTTGTATATTGATTCAAAAATTGTATACAAATACAAAAAATTTATGATGAGAAAAAAGATGAGCCAGGAAATTTCGTACAAGATAGTAAATTGAAAAAAATTTATTTTTAAAAATTAATTTTTAAGGTACCAGGGGCCAACGAATACCTATTAAATATTAATTATAAAAACACAGGCCTCGAATCAACTTAAAGATACAAAAAAGTCGTTTTAGTCGATTTATATTCCAATAAAAAGTGGATTTGTTTTTTATTTTAACAAAAATATTTTACAGATTTTTAAATAAAAAAATTTTTTTTTAATAATAATCCTTTTCGAAGGGTTAAAGTTGAAATTTTTAGAAATAATTAAATTTCAAAAGATATTGTTAATTTTCAAACAATTATTAAATTTTACTGAACTAAAAATAATTTATCAAACAATTTTTGGAAAACATTTTTTAAATTTAATTCAATTTTCAAAGATTTAAAATTGAGATTTTTAAAATTAATTGAAACTTTAAGTGTTTTTTAATTAAAATTATAGATGATTTCACTAAAAATTTATTAGAAAATGCGGACAAAATACAATAATTTGAAAATCATTTTTAATTGAAAAATGGTTTCAGTTAGTTGAATTTTCAAAGAATATTATTAAAATAGTTAAAAATAATTGAATTTCCTTAGAGTTATAATTAAAATTATTAAATTTCAAAAAAAGAATTTTCAATGGAAAATTTTAGAAATAATTAAATTTTAGATGCTTTTAAATTCAAATTATTGAAAATTCAATTAATTTTGAATTCAAATTTTTGTGAATAATTAAATTTTATTTGATTTTAAATTTGAAAAATAATTGAATTTCAGTTCATTTTGAATTGAAAATTTTGGGAAATAATTGAATTTTAATTGAAATTTTGGATAATAATTTAATTTAAGTTCATTTTTGATTGAAGATTTGTATAATTAATTTTAAATAGAAATTTTAGAAATTAATTGAATTTTATTTCATTTTAAATTGAAAATTTGGTAAATAATTAAATTTTAAATTGAAAATTTTTGATAATAATTATTGAATTTTTAATTGATTTTGAATTAAAATTTCGGGTAATAATTTAATTTTAGTTTATTTCGAATTGAAATTTTTAAAAAATAATTCAATATTTTATTGTGATATTTTTTTTAAAATTATAAACAATTATTAAATTTCATAAAAATTTTAATTGAAAAATAATTTTGATATAATTGAATTTGTGATGTATTTCATTAAAATTATTAAAAATAATTAATTTAGTGAAGAATCATTTTAGTTCAAAATTTGTTAAATAATTGAATTGAAGAAGATCTGACGAAGATCTACATTTTATACTAAAAAAATGTATTTTATTTACATTTTTTTTCAAATGTAAAAAAAAATGTCGCATTTTATTAAAATAAGTCGATAAAAGTCGTATTTTTGAAAAAAGTCGGAAAAAGTAATAGATGTTATTCTGAATAATATTTGCAAAATTTATTATTAATGAGACAAAAATATAAACCCAAGTGTTGGCCACGTGAGTTTAAAATTTAGTTCCGAATCTGCATCGCACATGTTCCGGACATGAAAACTGGAACGTCAAAAAGAAGTGAGAACCATTTCCTGGAAATATAAAACCTTTTTGCACGCGGGTTTCTAATATTTTCTAAAACCCATTAATTTTCATTAATTTCAAACGAAAGTGCTTTAAAATAAAAATAATTTATCATTACTGGTGCTTCATAAATTATATATTTGTGCTTTAATATCCTATTTCAATTTTTTTTGTATGCATTTAATTGAAAACAAAAATTTAATCCTTTTTCCCTTGAAGAAAAATGAAATATTACAGTCAAATCAAAAAGATATTCCAACTCAAAAATAAATAATAAATAAATATAAAATAAATAATTTTCTAAAATATGAAACGCAGTAAATGGATGTTTATATGAAAACAAATGTTTTAGTAGATATTTAAGTTTCATAAAAAAGACACTCTCACGTGATTATTTATTTATTTATTTATGAAAATATAAATTAAATTAGGGGAAGAAAAAATTTTTTTTCTTGATGATTACGGCTTGTTAGGAAAATTATATACATTTTACGGATTTGTAAATACGTTTGTTGAGTTTGACACACTAAACACACCTTAACAGGGACTTTTACGGCTGCTGCCTATGTTAAATCACGCGAACTGCAAATGTCGTTAAAGTTGTGACACCTTCATCCAATTTTCCATGATTTTACTTTAAAAAGACAACAGCAAAAAAATAAAAAAAATAAAATAAAAAAAAACCCGTTTTGTCCAATTATTGAAGCTCATTCCTCTCCTTAACGATTCAATTCACAATTTCAAAATATCATTAAAATTTATATCCAATTTTGCAATCATGATTGAAAAAAAAAATTTATTTTAATATAATTATATTTTTAGTTATAATGAAAACGAGTGGGAATTAGGTAGTCTACTGTAATAACGCGTAATATTACGTAATAACGTGTAATAATTATAATTTTTTTTAAATGTCAATTTAAATATTTAGGATTTATTCGCCATTTTTAAGGAAAGGGGAAGTGTGATTTTAAAGATCAAATTCCCCCTTCCCCCTTTCTATAAAGGAAATAAAAGGATTTAAGTTAAAAATTGAGGAGAGGGATTGAGATCAACATTGCTTATAATATCATCGAATTAACCTTGAAATTCACCCTCTGATGTTTATTTAAGGGGTTGAAAATTAATACGAATGAAAATTAGGGTTGTAGTGTCACATTTCCTCTACGTGTCTTCACCCCCATCTGCCTTTATTTACTCAACTACCTATACACAATAAAGACTCAATTTTCTATAATAATTGATTGATTGATTGTGCGTGTGCCACTCCCACAATTTGCTTTTTTTTTTTGAAATTTTTACAATTAACAAAAAGTGTCCAATCATTCTCTATTCTTCATATACCTTTTTCCATTATTAAATAAAAGGAAGAAAAATAGTTTTTTTTTTAAAAAAGGATAATTTTTTCTAATTCATAATTTAAAAAAAAAAATTTATTTTTAAAAATAAAAATTTATTAATAAGGCATTTTTATAATTTTCATTTCTTATTTATATTTAATTTAATATTATTAATGTCGTTGTTAATTACAATATTACAATAATTAGAATAAAATTAAAAATTTTACACGTAAGTAGGGATCGAACCCTGGACCTTTGAGACACAAGTTGCGTACGCAAACCACGGAGCTATACATTAACTTCCAAATCTATTCTCATTTCTTTAATTTTCTTAAATGAGAGTTCTGTTAAATAAGAATTAGTTACGAAACTGAAGTACGCAACGTTTATGATAAACGATTTTTTAAGAAATAATTTTTTTAAATAAAAATTCTATAATTTTTTGCCTAAAAAATATTTTTTTACAATTTGTTGATGAATGAAAACTATAGGAAATATTTTTTAGGCAAAAAATTATAGAATTTTTATTTTAAAAAATTATTTTTTAAAAAATCGTTTATCATAAACGTTGCGTACTTCAGCTTCGTAATTAGTTAATTCTGTTAATTGTGGATTTATTCAATGAAAATTCTGTTAAGTAAATATTTTGATAAATCGAAATTTACTAAAATAACAATTTTGTTAAAAAAAATTGTTCTTTATGCAATTTTTCTTAACATAAATTCCGTTAAATTGAAATTGTATTTTAATTTGAAATTCGATGTACTAGAAAAGCTGCTTTATATAATTTTACTAAATAAAAATTTGATAATTTAAGATTTGACGACGTAAAAATTCTTTTAAATTAAATGTTGAGAATATTTATACTTCCCCAATATTAGTTTATTTATTTCACTTAAATATTTTATTATTCATCATAAATTAGTAACAAAAATAATTTTTTTTTTCTTTTATTTGAAACAAGATATCGAGCCTACAATTTTCAATACTAAAATTAATAAATATTAAATAATAATAATAATAATTTCAAAATATAATAAAAAAAAATTCTTTTTTCTAAAACAATATTTTTCTAAAAATAATTTTAAAAAAAGCAATATTTTTTTGTTAGAAAAATCGTCGTTTTTTTCAAAATTTAGAAAAAAACAATTTCTTTACAAAACAATATTTTTCTATTGTTTCAACAAAATATTTTTTCTTTTTTAAAAACGATATTTTTTTTAATTAGAAAAATCGTTATTTTTTTGCGAATATATTCAACGTAAATAATTGTGTTGAATGTTAATAAAATAAAAAATTTTTTTTTGGTATTACAGATGTGCAGATGGATTGGTCAGATCATGCCTTATGGTGGCCAGAAAGAAATCATTGGTTGACAAGGACAAGAAGTACTTTGGACCAATATGGAGTTGCTGCTGATGCTCTTTTACATTTTACACCAATGCACAAAACTCTTCGAGTTCAATTGCCGGACATGCGTTATCTCGATTGCCGTGTTGATTTTTCTGTTAAAACTTTTAATGCCGTTATTAATCTCTGCAAAGAATTCGGTGAGAAATATTTTTTAATTGTTTTTTTTTCCTTTCTTTTTTTCTGAAAAAGAGGATAAAAAAAATATTTATTCGATAAAATAAAATTATTTTATTATAAATTCATTATTTTACAATAAATAAATATAAAATAAAAACAAATTATATGGATCAGAATTTCTCAAACGGATCACCTAAAATTTTCAAAATGTAATTAATTTTTATTTTTTTTTTTCATTTGAGAAATTCTTACCTATTTATATTATATTATATTATAAAATATGTTATAAAAATTAATATTATATTTTATATTTTTTGTAAATTGATTTTTTTTATTATAAATTGATATTATAAAAAGCTTTAAATTTTGAACTAAATTTAATAAAAAAATTATAAATTATCAATAATAATTACAATAATAATATAATAATGATTAATTACTATAATATATTAATATTAATGTTAACTACAAATAAATAAATATTATAATAATTATTAATATTATTAATAAATAAAAAGAAATAAATTTTGCAAACAAAAAAATGAAAAATGAGAATGTTAAAAAGATGTAAATTGAAATTGTCCGAAATTGATAGTTTTCACCATTCAACGAGTAATTAATTTTGTCGCTGGAGGGAATAAAAATCCTTCAGTCACGCGAAGGTTAAACATTCCTGTTTGTGAAGCTCGAAATTTATCACCGCAGTTAAATGCCACTTTTTAATATCAGCGAAACTGGGTTACAATTATTATTATTAATTATTAACATTTATTAATCTAAATTCATAATATAATAATAATTACTGTCTTTCTCAATTACTCAGTTTTTATTTTACATATCTTTACTACAATAATAATCAAAATTATTATTTTTCCATGTTTTTTATTCTCATTATTGTCTCAATTTTATATTTATTTATTTATTGAAAGAATTCTCAGCTTTGAACATAACAAAAAAAAAAAAATTTTTAATGGTTTTTTTTTTCTCAGAAAGCCTCATATAAAAGAAATTTATATTATTTGCAATACAAAAAAATTTTTTTGAAATTAATTAATAATTTAATTTTTAATTAAAAAAAATTTTTTTTCCAACATTTTGGAATAAATAAAATAAATAAATATTTATTCAGGTATCAGACATCCGGAGGAGCTTTCATTTTGCAAACCATTGGAACCATGTCATTTGAAATATAATTTAAAAGATTTGCCAGCAAAAAAGAAAATTGAAAATCATAAAAATGGATGGCACGTACCAGCTGATACAAATACATTTATTCCTGTCACTCAAAGTCCCAGGGGATCAAACGGAAGTTTGGATCAAAGTAGTCCCTTTATGTGTGCACCGGTCACTCCAAATAACAGGACTCACAGTACGCCAATCAGTTCACCGATTTCGGTAAAAATTTATTTTCATTTTACTATAAAATTTTTTTTTCTAATAAAAAATTATAAAAAAATTACAAAATTGACAAATTTTCAAGATTTCAATTCAGTTTCATAACAAATTTTGAAAAATAATTTAAAGTTACCTACATTAAAAAAAAAATTTCAATTCTGATTTATGCACATTATTCGAATTCGAAATTTCGGAAAATGTTTTAAATAATTAAATTTTCAAAGAATTTGATAAAAAAAATATTTAATTTGATAAATTAATTTGATAAAAAATTAATTTTAAATGAAAATTTGGGAAATAATTGAATTTCAGAAGATTTTTAATTAAAATTTTAAAAATAATTGAATTTAGAAGAGTTTGATTAAAAATTTTTAGAAACAATTGAATTTCAGGAGATTTTCAATTGAAACTTTTATAAAGGATTAATTAAATTTTTTTTTACAAATTTCGGACAATAATTGAATTTTATAGAATTTAAAAATTATAATTTTGTTGTAAATATAAAAACATTAATTAAAAAAATGAATTTTTGAAAAATTGGATTAAAACTGTTGAAATAATTAATTAAACAAAGAATTATATAGATAAAAATTTGAAGAAAATAATTTTCAATTGAACTAACATTTAATTAATTATTCAATTACTAATTGAATTTGTAAGAGTTCGAGTTAAAAATTTGTTGAAAGTAATTAAATTTCAGAAGATTTTAAATTGAAACTTTCATAAATTTTAATTGATAAAATTTTTTTTTACAAACTTTGAAGAATAATAGAATTTTAGAGTATTTTTATTTAAAAAAACTGTATTTCACTGAATTGTTGAAAAACTGTATTAAATTTATTTAAAAAATTAATTTAGCGCAGAATTTTAAATAAAATTTTTATAAATAATTGAAATTTAGAGAATTTTGAATTGAAAAATGTTTTAAAAAATTGAATTTTTGATTTTTGAAATTTTCAATTTAAATTTTAATAAACTTAGATTATTGAAATTTTTTAAAATTATATAAACAAAAATTTAATTTTAAAGAATTAATAATTAAAAAACGTTTTATGTAATTGAATTTTTGAAAAATTTGATTAAAGTTATTAGAAATAATTAATTCAAAAAGAAATTGAAGTTAAAATTTTTTGAACTAATTGAATTTCAGGATATTTTTAATGAAAATTTTAGTAAATTGAAATTTCTGTAAATATTTTATAAGCTTTAAACATTTATTAAACTTTGGAGAATTTTAAATTGGAAAATGTTTTAAATATTTGAATTTTCGAAAATCTTGATTAAAATTATTAAAATTAAATTATTCAATAAAGAATTTTAGATAGAAAATTTAGAAATAATTGTATTTTTGAAGAGTTAAGAGTTAAAAATTTTTAGAAATAATAATTGAATTTCAAAAGATTATTAATTAAAATTTTCATTTTAAATTGGAGAAATTTTTTAAAAAAATTTGAACAATAATTGAATATTTTTGTGTCAACCCTGTTATTTATTTTTCTAAATTTTTATTTCATTAAAATTTCTAATAATTGAAAAGATAAGAGAAATTCTTAAATTTTTTTTTTTTAATTTGACCATTCAATGTTTTTAATTCTTATTTTTTATTTCAATTTTAAAAATAGCTGCAAATTTAAAATTCTCTCAAATGAAAATTTTTTAAATAATAAATTTCATTGTCTATTTCCCAAAAAAAAAAGAAAAAAAACTTGTCTAAAAGAATTTTTGCAATTTCAGACTGGAACATGGAAGAGAAACAATAATTCCTCAGGTTTTGGTAGCACTGGTTCGTTTAATGCAAATAATAGTACAATGAGTCTTGAGGCATTAAATGGTGGACTTTCTGAATTTCTTGCACAAAGTCCATCATCAATTTCACCTGAAGTACGTGGTAAATTAACACGTCCAAAAAGTTTAATTGAAAGAGCACGAATGAATGTTGCATGGTTAGATTCATCACTATCGATAATGGAGCAGGGTATTCGTGAATTTGATAGCCTAAGGCTTAAATTCAAATTCTATTCATTCTACGACCTAAATCCAAAGACCGATTCAGTTAGAATAAATATGATTTACGAACAAGCAAAGTGGCAACTACTCGCCGAAGAAATTGACTGCACCGAAGAGGAAATGCTCATGTTTGCTGCCCTTCAGGTAAAATAAATTCAAATATTTCTTTTTTTCTTTTGGTAAAATAAAAATTTATTTCCGTTAAATATAAAAACAAAAAAAAAAAAAATAGATTTTTCTCGTCTTGGAACGAAGAATTTTAAATATATGTAATTTTTGTTTCAAAAAAAATTTTTTTTCAACAAATTAAATTATTTTAAAAATCAGTACAATTTCTTTTTGGATAATTTTAGTTTAAAAATTTTTTTTCTGATAAATTTCGATATGTTCTAAAGAAAAAGTTATAATTATTTAAACCAGGGTATCTAACACTTCTAGGAAAAAAATTCCCTGACTTTTCACTAACTTTTTCCTGATTTAAATTACACTAAAAAAAATTTTATTCTGATGAAATAAAATTTATTTTGATACAATTAAATCATTTACCTGTCTTTTATCCACTAATTTCATATGTATTTGAATCAAATAAATAATGTTTCGTAAAAAATAATATTTATTATTAATTAATTATTAATTAATTTATTATTATTTATTATTTTTACGGCGTCAAATAATTATCAAATTTTTATTTATTAAAATTATATAAAGCAGATTTTCTAGTACATCGAATTTCAAATTAATACAATTTCAATTTAACAGAATTTATGTCAAGAAAAATTGCATAAAGAACAATTTTTTTAACAGAATTGTTATTTTAGTAAATTTCGATTTATCAAAATATTTACTTAACAGAATTGTCATTGAATAAATCCACAATTAACAGAATTTCTATTTAACAAAATTCTTAATTAACAACGTTTTTATTAAAGAAAATTTTAATTCCAACTAATTCTTATTTAACAGAATTCTCATTTAAGAAAAATACTTTTTAATTTGCATTTGCTTTGGGAAGAAAGCAAAAAATTTTTGAAGCTAATAGTTATTTTAATTTATTCATAAAAAATTCCAGAAAATTTAAGAAATTCCCTGACTTTTCCCTGACTCCCCTGACCGTTAGACATCCTGTAAACTTTATTTTGAAATTAGTGACATTTTAAAAATCAACAATTATTTTAAAAAACATGAATTGTTAAACATAATTTATACTTAATTCAGAAATGTTAATTTCAGATAGATCCAGTCAGTAGAAATATATATATATTTTTACATTATTTTTAGAATTAATAAGATGAAAATTTTCTTTCTCATCAATATGGATTTATTTATTTTTTAATTTTTTTTTTTCATTCTTTATAGGTTCAAATAAATTTGCAAGCGAGTATTCCACAGCCAAATTTCGATAGTAATGGCTCGTCATCACCAATGGAGGATGATATAGACGCAGCTTTAACAGACCTTCAGGTTACCCTTGAGGGGACAACGATGAACAATGGTCCCAGCGATATTACACAAATTCCTGAACTCTGTGACTATCTACGTTTCTTTAAACCAAAGCGTTTCACATTAAAGGCCTTCAAGCGATATTGGTTCACATGTCGTGATTTACAACTAAAATTATACAAAACCCGAGAAGAAATGAACAGCTCTGAGCCACCATCGCAAATAATTAATCTTCGCGGTTGTGAAGTTACGCCGGACGTTAATTTGTCACAGAATCGTTATGGAATAAGACTTGAAGTTCCAAGTGCTGAGGGCATGTCAGAAATGTGGATCAGATGCGATACAGTCAGTATTTTAATATTTATAAAAAAAAAATATTTTCATTTGTTTGTTTTCTCTTATCAAAAAAAAAAAAAAAACAAAATTACTTTACATCTGTAATTTTAAAAAATTTATATAAATCTTGTAAATTTGATAAAAAAAAATTTGAAAAAATCATGAAACTCTTTTTTATTGTTTTCTTTTCTGTTAAATAACTAAATTGCAATGTTTAAAAAAAAAAAGACTGAAATTTTCATTTTTTTTTAAAATTTATTTGCTTTTAGGAATCACAATATGCAAAATGGATGGCCGCCTGTCGATTGGCGGCAAAAGGTCGCACATTGGCTGATTCTTCATACGAAAGTGAAGTGAACAGCATTATTGAATTTTTACAACTTCAAAGGCCTGCACCAGCACCTGCAATCAGTCCCAATTCCCTTGGAGATATTGTACCAGAAGAGTATGTCGCTTCACGATTTGTTAAGAAGTTCAAGGGAAAGGTACGTGTCAAAAAAAGAAAATTAATTTTTTTTTGTTAAAACAACTAAACTAATATTTTATTTTTTACTAAAAGAACAAGATTATTTTTTTTACCAAAGCAGAAAATTAAATTTTTTTAATTAAAATAACAAAAGTAATAATAATAATAATAATATTTTAATAATAATATTTTTTATTAATAAAAATTTTCATTTTGAAGAATTTTATTAGGTATCATTATTTTTTAGACCAATTTTCAGTTTTCGAATTAACATTTGACAGAATTTCCTTTTAAACAAATTTTAATGGAACAAAATTTTTAGTTTATCCATTTGTTTTATTTTAAAAAATTCTAACTTAACCGAATATTAATTTTCCAGAATACTCATTTTTTTAAAAGAATTTTAAGTGATTCGAATTTTTAAATGCCAAAATTTTCCATTCACCGAATCTTGATTTGTCCGAATTTTTTATTTGCACAAATTGCATGGATTATTTGATAGAATTTTGAAAATCCCAAATTTACATTTGTCCGATATTGTAAATAACCGAAAAATAATGGACAGAAAGAATTTTGCGCAAATTTCAAAATTTAACCAATTACAATTTTCTTGATAATTTTTAAATTCGCGCCAAATTCTTTCTATCAATTTTTTTTTTATCGGTGATTCGCAACTTCGGACAAATGGAAATTCGTCGTTGAATTCTATCAAAATAACAAATTCGTGTAAATAAAAATTCGGACAAATGAAGATTCGGTAAATTGGAAATGATTGCATTTATTATTATTTATTATTAAAATTAAAGAATAGATATTTTTGAAGAAAATTAAAGTTTTTATTTATAGTTCTTTCGATTTTTAAGAGATTACAAATTATTATATTAAAATTAATTTTGAAAGTGATTTTAAAAATTGAGAAAAAAAGAAAAATTACTGAAATTACTTTTTGCAGTTGGTACAAAGGATTTTGGAAGCACACGCCAATGTTAAAGATTTATCGCTTGTTGAAGCAAAATTAAATTACATCAAAGCATGGCAATCACTTCCCGAATATGGAATCTCGTTGTTTGTCGTGAGATTCACGGGTAAAGGAAAAGATGAACTTTTAGGAATTGCAAATAATAGGCTTATGCGAATGGATCTTCATAGTGGCGATCATTTGAAAACATGGAGATACAATACAATGAAGGTAAAAAAAAATTTATTTCAATTTTTTGAAAAAATCGATATTTTAAAAAATATATTTTTTAAAATGTTTTTTAAAAAATAATAAAAATTTTCTTCGGATTTAGAAGATAAAATTATTTTTTTAACAAAAGAAAACTAATATTTTTTCTAATTTATAAATAGAAAATTAATTTAATTTAAAAATGAATTTTTTTCTAACATTTTTAATAATGTTGAAATTTACTTTTTTCCCCAAAAAAAATGTATGAATTTTATTCCAGGCATGGAACGTGAATTGGGAAGTGAAACACATGATGGTACAATTTGAGGAGGGAAATATTATTTTCGAATGTCAATCGGCTGATTGTAAAGTTGTTCATGAATTTATTGGTGGCTATATTTTCCTCTCAATGAGATCGAAGGAAGCAAATCAAACACTTAATGAAGAAATGTTTCACAAATTAACAGGAGGATGGCATTAAAAAAAAAAAAAAATTCACTATTCAAAATCTCTCTTCATCAGTTACAAATATATAAATCTGCGTTTATCAAAAAAATTACTTAAGAAAACAGAGACACAAATACTTAAAAAGCAAAAAATAATTTTAAAAAATTTTGCAAATTACGAAAGAATTTTTCCTAAAGAAAAAATTTTATTATTAAAAATTGTCCAAACAAGGCAATAAAATTGAAGGAGAAAGAAAAAAATAAATACAATTGTAAATAGAGTGCCGCGAGAAAATCTCGAGTAGCCGAAAATAATCGTTTTTTTTAAAAAAAAAAAAAAAAAACAATTTTAGCCTTTTCTCTTAAAGTGCCTCGGTGAATTGAAAAAAAAAAATTCTTGATTTTTTTTGTCTACAGAAAAAATTGATTATTTAGAAAATTTAACATCGACTTTTTACAAGGAGAAAAAAAATAATTTTAATGCTTCCAAAGTTTATCTTTTTATAATCGAGTTTTACAAATTTTTTTTTTTGTAATTGTTTTACGAAGAACTTTTTAACATTTTATTTAATATTAGAGAAAAACGCACATCATTTTTTTTTCACTGATTGAGTGCCTTTCATATCGATAATTATCTGTTAATATTAAATTCTTGACAACCTAAAAAAAAATTATTTAAATTTTTTACAAATTGTTTCTTTTTTTTATCATCTATTTTGAGAGAGACACACGTAATTCAATTATAAAAACTAGATACTAATTTTTACTGACTTATTCTAATTACGAAAAAAATGATTAATCCTTTTGCGTCTTTAATTTAATTTGTTTTTTCATTATTGAATTTTATGAGAGAAAGAGAGAAAGAACAGTGCAATAGACAATTATAATAATAATAATAATAATTACTTGATATATTTGGAATATTTTACAGGAAAAGAATCAATAATATGAAATTTGTACAGTAAAGGAATTGAATTTGGCGCAAGAGGTTTTTTTTAAAAATTTTTTTTCGTTTTTAAATCAAAAATATGAGGAAATTCAATTTCGTGTGAATATTGATTTAAACGATGAAAGTAGGTGCTAATCACGCGAAATTAAAAATTCTCAAAATCGTGTAAATTATTTGTTGTTTTTTTTTTTTTTATGTAAACTAGAGATATGAATATAAATATATTATATTATATATAAAATTATTTACATGTCACGTGACACACATCAACTATGTTATTACATATTAAATATATGTAACCAAAAAAAAAATTATAGTTTTGTATATTATTAGAATAGAAAGTGTATAATAAATTTAATTATTAATAACACACAACGTCTATTTTATTATTAAAAAAAAAAAAAAAAAATTGCAGAAAGATGAATTATTTTTATTAACAAATGGAAAAATTGAATTTCATTGAAATAAATTCCAATGATAAAATTAAACAACTTGTAAACCAACCAATAAACAATGCAAACCAACAAAATTTTAATTGACTTATTGTCAATGGTTCAGCAATTTCATCCTCGCAAGTTTCACATAATTTATGTCCAAGTTTATATTTTTCCTTTAATCTCATTTGAAGTCCTGAACTGTGAAAATTATAAACTAAATGTTTTAATAATGAATTATAGGGATGTTTTGGTTTTGTAAAATATAAACTTGGATAAAATGCAAATGCTTGATTAGATGTACGATGATTAAATCTATCACGATAAACCCAAATTGCATAATTATTGATATCCACATTATGCATCATTATTGCTTTATTAAAATGCATCATATCAATTATTGTCGTTACATTTACCTCCTCGTAACTGAAATAACAATATAAATTATTATAAAAATAAAATATTTTCTAAGATACCAAAATTTAAATCCAATACAATTTGCTTGATTCCCAAAAAAATATATTATATCAAAAATAAAATGTTAAAAATTTTTACCTATCGTAAAAATTTCTTGAACAAGAATATAATTTTTTATCAATGAATTCGTGTATAAATTTTGGTCCACCAAAACGTCTATTTGATTCACATACTTCGGTCAATGTATTAAATAATATGGGTGGACTTTTTGATAAAAAACTACTTGTTATCATACTTTCGTATGCCATTGTGATTATAAGGCCAAATAATAACATTAATCCCTTGGCAAAACGTAAGCCACCATTTTTTGTTTCACTCACATCTTGTTTGAGAAAAATACGTAAAAGATCGTCAAATTTTAAATATTCCTTGATTAATTTCATTCTATAGATATATTTTACGCTGATAATAAAAAAACTATAGAATATCACAACAAAGATAAAACAAATCCAAACTTCAAATTCAAGGGGAATGAAGAAACTTTCAAGTCCAGTTGAACGAAGATTATAATCAGGAATATAAAGTAATCCCAGAAAATAAAATCTATAAATTATGAAATGTTATTTGATTATTTTTTATTTATTATATTCTTTAAAATAAAGAAAAAAAGAGAGAAGTACAGGATAAACCAGACAGTAGTCACTTTTCAATTTTGAATAGCAACAAAATCATATGATATAGAAACAATTACTAAATATTTTTAAAATCATCAACAAGCTTAAGCTTTTGTAAGTGTAGAAAAAATTTTTTTCTATACGATTTTTTAAGATGGCCTTCCACTGTCTTTTTTTATTGTCCATTAATTACGTGAGGTATTTTTTTAAAATTTGGATTTATTTTTAATATTTTCTTTTATTTTATATAAAAATTTTGTTGGAATAATCACAATCAACGTTATCTATTACACTTTTTAATTATTGATTTCGCCAAGACGCCAAGTTATTTTATGGAAAATAACTAAACCAAAAATAATAGTTAAATAAACCGACAAGTAACCCGGCTGAAAAAACTTGTACAAGTTCTTGTACATGTTCAAGTAATGTTCTTGAATAAGTTCAGCATCCGGAATTGAGACATGTTCTTGTACCAGAATTTGTACAAGAACCTGGACAAGAAAATATACTTGTACAAGAAAATGTACAAGTTCATTGATGAACATGTACATTTTCTTGTACAAGTTTTTTTAGCCTGGAAATTTTATAATTCTAATTAGGAAAAACTAAAACCAGCTCAGGAACTCCATTGTTACTTTACAGCAACAATAGACAGCAGGGGGGGGATAAGGATAAACACCATTAATTAGACAAAATTTATAACAATAACACTATTTATTATTATTCACTTGAAATTTTAGAAAAAGTTAAATAATGGCAGAAGGCCGAAAGACAAGATTTATACGTTATTTATTCAAATATACTTTAATAATAATGAGATCGATTCTGAAGGAAACAACTCCTAATTAATTCACTAGGACTCACCGTCCCCTTGACGACGACGATGACATCTCGTCTCATTTTTATAATTTTAAATTTTAATTATTTTACACAAAAAAGAATAAAACACAACTTGACTCTACGAACACCAGGATGAGAATGAGAGTAAAATGGCTGACGAGTCAAACTCGAAAGCGTCGCTAAACAGCGGCCTCTCTTCTCGGTGTCATTGAGATTAATTAATATTCAATAATATAATACCCGCGATCGATAATCGATACGCAGACGTCGGTTCATTCTTGACGATGAAGAAAAAAATATAAACCCAATTATGTTTTCCCTTGTGACAACAGTGAATTCGCATTTTCCATCTTTGAGCATCAGCTACAGTCAAATGAATTCTAAACTTACTGCATCACACTTTAAGTTTCTTTTTCGACCGAGAAGTACTACACTGTTTATTTTACAGTGGATGGATGAGAGTACTATGGCAAATTTTGACAATTTTTTGATAAAAGATAATGATCTATTATTAAAATCATCAAAAACAAGATGTTTAGTTGTAAATTCTAATTTCTCAACTCATGATGACATCAATGGAACCTTGCATTTATTCTGGCTGAATAAATATTTAGACATTACTTTATTGACATACAATAGTGAATTCCAAGTGATTCTCAAACCAAGTTCTAAAAAATTACCTTTATTAAGTTACATAAATCCTTTTACCAACAATTTATCCACGCAGACAGTATCATCAGAGAGTCAATGGTTTCCCAATAAACTGAAAAATCTAAATGGATACAAATTCAATTTCGTGTTTTATTTAATTCTACTTCATCAGTACAAAAATTATTAGGCTTTAAAAGATTTATAGAAATTTTCTCAGAATCGATAAATTTTGAACCTGTCACATACATATTTCGAGATACTAATTCTAGACGTAACTTTAAAAATGACGATAGTAAATTAAAAAAAATTAAAAATATAAAAAGAAAAATACTAAAGGAAATAGATCCGGAGTTTTCGCTAAACTTCCTAATATTATATAATGTATCTACATTTAATGTAAATATGCGAATACTAAACATTAAGAAAATGAAAGCTATTATTCCAAAGGGGGACAAAGTCACTAAAGACATTCAAGTTTCACATGAATTCTGGTACATGATCTTGATCACAATTGGTGCAATTGTTGTTATCCGTTTCACGGCCTTTTTGATGAAATTCAGAAACAGCACATAGCAAACTTTCAACATCAGTCAAATTTTAATGGGAATGCCTACCACTCAGAAACCAGTGAAATGGCTGGAAAGAATAATTTTTGGCTCACTACTGATTACATGCATCGTCTATACAAGTTATATTTACACTATAATTCTGGACATTAACTTTGGATCAGCTACTGAAATTTTATCTCTTGAGGAACTTGTTAAATCTCATTTGACGCCAGTGATGGAGGATTCTGTGTACCGTAATATAAGAAATAGTTCAATTTCTAATATTCGTCAATTGGCAGAAAAATCCATTCAAACGATGTCATTTAGTAGATTCATTCCATGTTTGGTAAACTTAGTTATGTATAAAAATGTCAGCTGTATTTTTCATCTTTCTGATAATTTTATTAAAAATTTTGAAGAAAAATACTACAAATTAAATGTTATAGTATTGCAAGAAGTTATTCAATATTTTATATATACTTTATCGTCAAAGGCTTGGTTCGTTTCAATGAATTAATTTTGAAAGCTTCAGAGTTTGGATTACTTACAGAATTTCCTGAAATTACAACACCATACAACAGTTTTTCAAAACCAGAAATAATTTCCAAAGAAAAACTTTTTCTTGTACTATTTTCTGCATTAGGCATTGGATACTCTCTTTCAATTATTGTTTTTGTTCTTAAAGTAATTACAGTAAAATTAAAAAGAAAATATTTGCAAAAGCCGAAATTTCTATTTGTAAATTAGACAAGGTGTCTAACAAAGATTGAGAAAAAAATTCCCTGACTCCTCCCTGACATTTTTTTATTTTTCCCTGACTTTTTAACAACCTTATTTCTGCTTTCTTTAAACAAAAATATGGTTACTGACATATTTAACATTAAATTATTTCTAATGATAGTAACAAATGGTGATAAAAACCATTAAAGTTTTTTTAGATTAAAAAATTTTTAAATTCACAAAAAAATTTAATTTTTGTAGAAATTTACAGAAATTTCCCTGACTTTGAATGAAATTTACTGAAATTCCCTGACTTTTTACTGATATTTCCCTGACCAACAAAATTCCCTGACTTCCCTAACCGTTAGACACCCTGTTAGAGAAACGCAATAATTAACGATACGATACGTTATATATTGTTAAAAGTTATTTTTACAATATAAATATAATTAATAAAGGTAGTGTGGGGTGCAATAGCCATAGTGTAAAAAAGCAATTTGGCTTTTATATTAAAACTATTGAACTGTTTTACCAGCCACTTAGAATATACATTTAATTGAGTAATACGCAACTTTTTTATTCTAGTTTGGATGTTGTATCAATAATATTATAGTTTTTATTGTATTATTGTAATTTTTATTTTTGAGTTGCTCATTTCGATGACTATGAATCGAAAGTAGGTAAACTTAACACAAAATACAATTCTGTATGGTAAAAACTTTTTAAAATTATTTAATTGCTATGTAAATAAAAGAAAAATATAAAAAGAAAAAAATTTATAACAAAATATTGGCAAAATGGCAAAATGGATATGAGACTGAAGTTACCAACGTTGATTCGACGAAAAATTTTTTTTTTCTTAAAACCGAAAAACAAACTCAAACATCATTCAATATTGAATTCTAAACATTTTTAAACACAAAATTAACAAAAAAAAATAAGGGAAAACCAGTGGTTCCCAATTTAGCTCTTGTTTTGGATTTTTACGATTTTTTCAATTTTATGTTAATTCGAAGGCTTAGATCCCTTTTTAATTAATCGACAATATATTTTTTTGGTCCCTACTACATCCCCAAAAACGAAAAAACCAAAAACAACGCGGGGAAAACAGTGATTATCAATATAAACGTGACTTTTTTTTTGAATTTTACTATTTTTTCAATTTTATGTTAATTGAAAGGCTTAAACCCCTTTTTAATTAATCGGCAATATATTTTTTAGGTCCCTACTACATCCCCAAGCACGAAAAAACCAAAAACAACGCGGGAAAACAGTGGTTCTCAATATAAACGTGCCTTACTTTTTCAAATTTTTCGAATTTTTTCGTTGTTATGATAATTCGGAGGCTTTGATCCCTTTTTAATTAATTGGCAATATATTTTTTAGGTCCCTACTACATCCCCAAAAACGAAAAAACCAAAAACAACGCGGGGAAAACAGTGGTTCTCAATATAAACGTGACTTTTTTTTTGAATTTTATTATTTTTTCAATTTTATGTTAATTCGAAGGCTTAGATCCCTTTTTAATTAATCGACAATGTTGTAATTTAAATTTTATTATAAAATACGCAAATTAGGTTAAGTCGAATAAGTTAAGTTACGTTAAAAAGCGTAAGTGACTGTAAAAGGAGACAAAAGGCTCTCACAGAGCAGAATGGTTGACTATGTCATGAGATATGTATCGAGAAATGTTGATGGTGGTTTAGGCAGTGTGCTGCGAGTTTATTTTGAACATTTTAATTTTTAAACAAGTGTATTTCTTAATTTTATTAATAAATTTATTTGTTTTACCACAATTCAGAAGTGGGATTACTGTGTGGGACTCAGAAGTTTTTTTGTGAAAAAAGGTTAGTTAGTGGCGAGGCGTGGTTTTCTCGCGTTGTGAAATTAAAAGTCGATGGATGACGAATTTGAATTGTTTGTAAAGGATTTGAAAAGTAAAGGAACCATTAACTTTACAATGAGTGAATCAGAACAGTTAAAGCGTGCTATGCAAGAAATAGATCGATTGAGTAAGCTTAGAGAAGATGATAAAACTAAATACGAAAATCATGTTCAGTCCATGCTAATGGACTATCAGAAAAGAGAAGCTGCGGCAAAGGCGGAATGGATTGCCAAAGAGAAGGAAATGCAAAAGCAAGGAGCCCATCAACATGCGTCGATCAGAGCA